TATCGTAATCATGAATAACTACAGGGGGGGGGGGCAAAAAAAGAGTCACTCCTACTCACATTCAAAACAGAATTAATTACACTTTGCCAAAACCAAACCGAATGAGCTCAATTGCATATTGAAGAGCACATTCTATTCTATCAAAAACATTGCATAGTGGCCTTCTAAACCGACGACACCAGAAGATTTTCCCACGGAAACATGGTTCGCGGTACGAGCTCAACGGGGTCGTCGAGAAACCATAGATGATTACGACGTCTCTGAAACGCTGGTCAAAAGCCATTTGCATAGTCAGAGCTAGTGTCTCTAAGAAGTCATTCACCAGTTATCCGATTGAAGAATTTATGTAGCAGCTTCAGAATGGAGCGATTATTGTAGGCCTCCTTAGCTCGACGGTGATGACAGATGACGTCATATTCTGGAGACGGTGAACGCAGCGAAGGTGGGCCTGATTCTGCTTATGGGGGGACATCTAAGGAATAATTTGCCGTATAACTCCCAATAACAGCGGCATCCTTTGCGACGAAAAAGTTTGATGATATGCGCCATAGGCAAAGTGACTCTTTTTTTTGGCCCCCCCTGTATAGATCAAATAGAAAAGAGGGACTACGATTACAAATCACTACAAAAACTACGATGACTACGACCTGCGATTATAAGAAAGGCTATTGAACTAAATTTAGAGAACCTAAGGTGCGAACTCATCAAATGATGACTAATTAGGAATCTGAAGAGAGAAGAAGCAATTGACTACTAGTACTAATTATATTAGGTGTGCTACATTCATCGCGTGATGAAGATGACAGAAAATACAGCGACGAATAACTGATAACCGGAGAGGCGAATAAGGGTGACCGTCCACGATGATGATGCAATGATGTGACGACGTGGCTACGGTTGGTGGGCGAGGTGAAGGCGCAGGCGACTAATGTCCCGAGCCACTTAAGATCGGCGCGATGTTTAAATGGAGGTATTTGCCCTGCCTCTTGCTAGCTTGCCATTGAAGCTCTTTACTCAAGGTCGTGGCGCTGATCACGACATCAGGCGAGTACGACAAGTGGGCGAAATTCCCCAATCTGAGTCCGCAATCTTCTGATATGTAATCCTTGGCTGCATGTAGATATGCGTGAGGTGGTGAACCTCAGTATAGAGCACTTCTGGGTGTACTTTACGCATGGCTTCGGCCAAATTACAGAGGTAGTTAAAAGCGAAAATAGTCGTCACTGCGGTGCAGGTATCCAGCAGCTTTTCGTGAAGAGTCAGTTTGCAACCTCATCGAAAACACTACAAAATCCTTCTCTACGATGGTTGCTGCATTCAACTTTCTTCCTCAGTCGAATCCAGTACAGCTGATGTATCATCATTTTTGTCGAGAAATCTCCACTATGGTCCCACACTTTGCCTCCCCAGATTGGCGCAACTTATATACTTGTACTCACTGCGAACATGCTGCCTTGTCACAAAGATGGGTGAAGGTTCACCATCCAACACCTACAGCCGACCAGAGCAGAGCTTTACTTTGAGTCAAATATTCCCGGCTACGTAGCCTTATTGTTAGGGGCAATGCGATACTATGGCCTGCTGAACGAGTTGCCTCCTAAATACAGCACAGATTTCGACTGCAACGATTCAAGCGGGCTTTATAGGAGCTCGAGAAATAAATTAGGTCAAAAGATGGCTCGGTTCAGATAGAAATTGGAGCTGTAAAATAATGCACGAAGCCATCATGCACGCCCTTGCTGCTACCTTCGGAGCCACACTAAAGGATAAAGCATTTGCCGTTGATCAATCCCTTTTTGGGATGCGGCACGCATTCTACTTCCATTTGTACATTCGTAGTGGCGTTTGAATGCGATGTGGCCTATACAATGACTTGCGGGGGCCAGCCGATGTACAAGTCAGTGTTTTTATCCTCCCAGACAAGTCTGGTACCAATTAACCGACCCCGGAGGGATGGAAGGCTTGGTTGGCCCGGGCGACTCACGACCCAGGATTTGATCCCCGGACCGCTCGCGTGGTGAGCGTGCCACTTGCCACTACACCACTTCCGCCTCAAAGCCCCTTCCTCGGTAGTATAGTGATGAGTATCCGCGCCTGTCGAAGCCACACTACAGTAATAAAATGCCAAAACAACTAATAAGGGTTCTGATCTTTCCCTCAAGATATTTGTTCACAGGAATTTCTAGACAACCCTATAATCTAAATCGTTTCCAGGCTACTTCGTGCCTCGAAGTCGGTCCAACGCGTTTGCTTGCCAAACCTTACATTTTTCAAGTTGTGGTGCTTCACTACACTGTGTCTAATCGTGAACTGTGATTCAGATGTGAATTAAGTAACCGATCGGGGAAGAAGATTTTTTCAATTTCAAGTCAATCCAAGGTCAACCTCAAATGTCTAGGTGGTTGTATCAATTAAATATTAGGTCCGTCATAGTTTCTTGCCTACTCCGGCTCTTTTTCAAACTTATTTTGTTGGTTCTCTGACGTATTTCTTCAACACAACATGCATCTCCTTTGCCTGCAATTCGCTGCCGATGCGTAGATCAACTTCCTTTGCGGGAAACCACAGACTCCTAGTCGAAAGATTAGATGCCATTTCGGAGACCGTTTCGGTTAGAACGAGATTTCTTCCCGGCGAATCAAGTTGGAGAGCAGAACAAACTGTGATCTGTCGTCAACGGGCTAAAACTACGGAGAAAAAACTGCCCGCAAAAGTCCCCAAGATTTTACGATTTTTTTGCCATGTACATAGGATCGACCGATCTCCAGAAAAAATAATTTTTCTCCTGTTCTACTTTTATCTTAAACAGTTATGCCCAAACTGGTGACAGTTGACTTCCGCACTGACTACAGCATCAGCAGTTTAATGATTTAGGCTCACAGTCTCGGTATTTCGACCAAAATTAGGAAAAGCATGGTCTGTACGCGGCTAAATTCCATTGATGGAAAATCTCAATCGTTGGAGCTAGACTACGCCCGCACTTTCACCCTCTTTTCATCACCTTCCACAACGCTCTGACAGTTAACGGAATGCGGGAAACCAAAAACATGGGAAGATCAGACTGTGTTTGGAGTTGGTGCGGGATCAACGCATGAGGAACCCGATTTTTTAAATTTCTCAGGTCTTGTGCGAGACTCTCAGTAAACTCTGCGGGGACGCTAACCTGGTTCGCGGATTTCTATGCTCAACACCCGTCAAGTGGCAGCAATGAAAGCCATGAGCCGTTGCGTCAGAGCAGGCTTCTTCTCACACGAGAAGGTGTGAGCAGTTCTTCTCACACGAGAAGCCGACTCCTAAGTAGAAAGTAACAGCGGTACAACGTAGTTGGGGAGCCTGCCCTCATTCATCTTCGGGTAGAAATTTTGCTTAAGGGCTGGATAAGGCCGTCATAATGAGTAATAAAAAGGCAGGCTGAACAGTTTCTAAAAAATTGAGGTGTTCACGTAAGGAAAGCAGCGTGCTAATGAGCTTTTCTAAAATTGCGTCGAAGATCTGTGATATGCTTGTTTTGTGCCTGCGAAAGATTACTGTAGAAATTTCTATAGCATCAAAGAGAACGTGGCTGAATTATTAAAATTATGAATCGACCTAATAAAGCCTTCATTCGAGTAAGCACTCCTGCAACAAACATGAGACCAAGGAAGTATTCGGAGAAAATGTGGAAAAAAATCAAGCTGTGCTGACGTTGCTGTAGTGATGGTGGTCACTCACAGGAAGCGATAACTTGTTCCACAACCGATTTCATCACGATGAAGGCAGGACAACCCAAAATCCTGAAAACTTCTGAATTTGTTCAATATATAAATGGTATTGCATATAGAGGAAGCACTACAATTAGGATGGAGAATTAAAGGAATAAAGGATAAAGGGATAAAGCTTTTGCCGTTGATCAATCCCGTCTTTTGGGATGCGGCACGCATTCTACTTCCATTTGTACATTCGCAGTGGCGTTTGAATGCGATGTGGCCTATACAATGACTTGCGGGGGCCAGCCGATGTTCAAGTCAGTGTTTTTATCCTCCCAGACAAAAGTGGTTTGGTTGTTTCGGTACCAATTACCGACCCCGGAAGGATGGAAGGCTTGGTTGGCCCAGGCGACTCACGACCCAGGATTTGATCCCCGGACCGCTCGCGTGGTGAGCGCGCCACTTGTCACTACACCACTTCCGCCCAGTAGGATGAGAAAAGGGTCAGAGTAAAAGTGTGAGATGTGAATGCACTAATATTTACCGTGACCTCCTTGGGCGCCTTATTAGTACATTTGTTTGAAAAGGAACCCAATTACATAGGTGGAGTACTATTTATATAGTAAGCAGTTGTCAGATTTTGGTTTCCCTTTTGCTGTTCGGCAACTGTAAGCCGATTTTGATAGCTCTAATTAAATCAAATTTGTATGCCAGGTCAATCCAAATAATCAACTGCAAAGTCTAGTTGGTTGTATTAATCAAGTATCAATTGAAAAAGTTCAAAATAATTTTACACGTAAACTATTCATTAGAATGGGAGGTTTCCAGTACTATAATATACCGAACGCGGCTACCAGGAATAATAGTCTCAAACTGACATCTCTTGAATGGAGGCGCAGAGTGTTTGACCTATGTTTTGTTCATAAACTGGTACAGAATTATTATGTGTCTGGATTTTCCAATGTCTTCAAAATGTCATATTCGAGAACTAGAGGTGGATCCATGAAAATATCATTAACGCGACCCAAGAGTAATGTGCGTGCTAAGAACTTCACATATAGAGCCGGTAGTGATTATTTGAATATAGCGAAAAATATACCCGCTTCTTTAACATTACCAAAACTCGTTGTTCTTAAAAATGTAGGTGTTTTGTAGTATTTCTTGTTCAGTTCATGTGATTCATAATGATGTCAATTATTGGTAATCTATTGGCTGTCTCACGTGTGCCTTATGCAAACGAAATAAACGTATACTTATACTTAAGTATCAGGTCGGTTCATAGTTTCTTGCCTATCCGAGCGTTTTCCAAATTGGTTTCTAGCAGATCAACCTTGCATGTCGCGAGTTGCTCGCTCTATTTGCAGGTGTTGTCAGTTTTGTACTAAAGCAGTCGCTCTCACTCTTCAAAGCCTTGAAAATCGTATGGTAAGAAAGCGACCTCGTGCGAGTTCACTCCCCAAAAAGTGGCTCCAGCAGGTCGCTTATCTACTGTGTGCTTGCTCTAGGATCAGAAACATGTCGAGCAGTAGTAGGCCGAATAGCTTTTCTCAAAATCACGTTGGCCTCGTAGTTGATGAGGGTGGAGGTTAAACATCGACATCACTAATTCATCATTTTGACAAGCCTATGTCTGCACGGAAATGTAGAGGGCCGCTCTGAATTAGATAACTTATGGTTAGTTGTGATTTCAAAGGTCACAACGGGCACGAGGCTGAAAAATGAGGGTGCCGCTGAAAATCTCGGTTTCGGACGCTCATCCGCTCTCTTACTAGCCTCTCCTATTCAATGAAAACGATCCCGTTTCTTGATTATGTGGTACAATGTAGAAAAGCTCCTTGGCAATATTTGGCGAACCTCCTCTCAAAAGTTGGATCAAAATTAGAGTCAACAGACTCTCAAAGCCGAAAACGCACACAGGCAAAAGTTTTGATGAATATTACGAAGTTTGCGACAGGCGTGCTGTTCAAGCCCAGGCAAATATATTACAATGGACTGTTTTCTCGAAAAGGTCTCAAGATACACCAAAAAAGCTGAGGCGAGCCCAACAAGCGTCGTCGTAAAGGGGTCGATTCTTCCCCGCGATGTGGCCTGAACACACTTCAACGCGAACCCCGCGAATGTTGAACTAGCTGAGCTAGTGAACTAAGGTGCTGGCATCTTAGCTATCATCATGAGATTATTATGTTTAATATGGAAACGAATTTAATCGAACCATCCGTTTTCATTATTATCTTGAATAAATGCTATCGAAATTCAATAGAATTGTTATAATCTTTAGGCTTGTTTGATTATTGAAAGGGGTGGGGATCCAAGAAGTCGTTCAGCCTCCGTTTCGCACGTGCCCCTAGACACAGATCAAGTCTCCTCCCTGTCCGCTCTCGCCTTTTCGATTGTTGGATAGTGCATCTGAATGCTTTAAAATTTATGATGATGGGTTTACCGCCTCCAGAAGCCCAGCACTTCCCAACCGTATAGATCCAATAGCCTTTTGTATGATGTATGGGAGTTGTAACGGTTCTTATTCGATGAAAACATCCTATTTGACGTGAGAATGCTCACTTCAAATCAGAGTCAAAATTTGCGGAAACCTTCCGAACAACCCAATATAAGAAACACCTTCAAATTTTGCGTATGGTGATAATCGGTGTAATATTACTACTTTGGGGGTTAAACTCCTGAAAAAATCTCAGTCTGTTTTCATTATTGTAAAAGGAGATCCCGTTTTCGCTCGCCTCTTTATTCGACATGTTTTTCCAAATAACTTTCCTTCTTTTGAAGGAGATTCCACGATAAGAAACAAGGTCGAAGAAGGGGAAAATTGCCAAGTGGGGAGACAGGCGGACCTTCTGAGGGTGCGGACTGACACGCAGTTGGCAGCGAAAGATTTGACCTCGGCGATCTAGCATGGCTCACTCTTGGCGCGGTTGGCGGGGTACGCCCACCGACTATCTAATCACTCGCCGCAGGTCTATACGTGGGAGTGATTAGAAAGCAGAGAGAGCGTAGTGTTGAAGAGGGCACAGCGATGAGAGTCGCATCAATGCGCAAATCAACGGGCAAGGAAGGGGTCCCATTTCTCGGGTATCGGGCCGTTCCACATGGTTTCTTCGCACCCCTCTTCTTATTTCCAATACGTCACCTTTTCACCGTAAAATCTGCCTTTGAAACCAGC